AGTCCCGCATTTCAGCCACAGCAATTTTGCTGGACTGTGGAAATATTGGCCATACACTACATCAAGGGTGACCTCACCGGGCAGAGTACGATAGATTAATAGTCTGAACACATCACGGCCAGACGCGTCTGGAACACGGGGGGGGTGGGTCCTTGTGAAACTTGGTGTGCTGCACGGTGGTTGGAGGCCCACCCCCACCCCCGCTGCGCACCAACGAATAGACTCGGGGCGTCCCATGGGCCTTGGAGACGCAGCAGGAGCAGCTTGAAGCAGGCAGCCTTCTCTTAAACTCTATCGTGCTTCTCTTCGGGGTGCAGTTGGCGGCAGGGACTTCAGCAGCCCGATCGAACATCCCTTGCCTGCGTGGTGGCGGGCCCAAGCGCCCACGTCATTCATGTGGGCCTCTTTGAGGGCCATTGCCTCACCACCCATTACAAGTATCATCGCTTTCGACCTGTGTTGCTTCCAAGAGGGCCCCCTTCAGAGCACGGCAGGGCCCCCCACTCGAATTGTTGCACATCGTATGGCCGCCATGAATCATGTCCACGAAACTATCAGCGATGGCCGCTGCCCTCATCCAACACGTTCTCATTCGACGCTCCTGGAAACAATGGAAGACGGCACCTTTAGAACTGCCTGTCAGAAAACATACCCGGCACACATGGGTGCTGCTTTTGCCCAAAGTACCACGACAGACATAGCTCAGCCGATTTTGACAGTGAAAGGGATCCCACGACATCTGAGCTGCACTCAGGGACTCATATGTACCTGACAGTGTGTGTGTGGCGAGGTACTTCAGGAGGCAACTGACTGTGCTGGGACCAAGAGGGGGAACGCTGGCCACGTCGGGATCCCGAGGTGAGTAGGTGGGCTGGCTTCTTTAGCTTCAGCTTCCCTCCCTCCCCCCCTGCCCCCGCGACCATCCCATGCCCTTCCACCCGCCCGCGCCCGAGCCAGACGACGCCGTAGGCGCCGAGGCTTGGGCTCTTGAGGACGCGGAGGCCGAGGCTGCCGCCACCCTCTACAGGAAGGGCGTGCCCGAGGAGGCTGGGGGGTCTCCCTTTTCTCCTTCCCCCCCTCCCCCTCCTCTTGTGGTGCCTCCTCCTCCTCCTCCTCCTCCTCCTCCTCCTCCTCCTCCTCCTCCTCCTCCTCCTCCTCCTCCTCCCCCCCCTCCCTCCCCCCTTCTCCTCCTCGGGCCCGGATCACAATCACGACGGGAGGCCTTGCGCTACTTTTTCGGCCTGAGGGGGCCCTTAACGGGCCTCGGGACTGTCGAGGAACGGTTCAGGATGAAAAACGGGTCCCAGGGAAGGGGTCGAGACGTGCTCGGCTACACGCAAGGAGTGTTCCTGGACAAGAGTGACCTTTGGTGCGCAGATTTGTTTTGGCCGCGGGCGGATCAAACACAAGCGCACAAGACGCTGCTGCCGCATCGCGCTCGGTGATCGGGGGGCCCCAGTGGGCCCGTACCGAAGGTCACTCCGGCGAAAAGTCACTCTTACGCACGTGTAGTCGATTGTCGAACACCTGCTCAGGATGAAAAGCCGGTCCCAAGGAATGGGCCGAGACCTTTGCGGGTCGACGCTATGAAAACATTATGACGTCGGAGACCTGGGTGGAGCACGGACCGACCGTCCTGGCATTCCTATAGGCCTACCACGACTTGTTCTTAGAACCGGAAGTGTTCGAATCACAAAAGATCCGATGTGTTAGAACAAGACAGTCCCAGCCAAACATGTTCTCCGAACATTTCGTCCCTCCTGGACGACCGGCCGCGGCGGCCCGCGGCCGACGGGCCAGAGAATCCGCTCCTCCAGCCGGTCAGGCGGCGCCCGGCCTCGAAAGAGGGCTCCGCAGTCTCTCCGCGGAGCAGCGGGCTCGAATTCCGGCAAGCCGTCTTGCAGCCAGAGAGCGGAGACATCGGCGCATGGCGCCGTGGGCTGGTTCTCTTGAAATCAAGTTTTGAGGGTCATGTGTCGTTTCTTTTCCTTCGAGAACGCATGGACTGCAAAGCCACCGTTCACCACCACCACCACCACCCCATCGGAATCTTCGCTAGGCAAGAAATGTGAGCCTTCTAAACGGGCCTCACACTGCAATCCGTGGAGGCGCCTCCAAAAGGGCCTCCACCCGTCGTACAATAAACCAGGAGTTCAGGTAGATGTCAACACTTTCTGTCAGCTTTAATAGTGCCTTTGCTCTGGGTGTGTGATGCAGTCACTTTCTTATCACTGCCGTTGCACGGCCCTCGCCTTGCTGTTGCGCGGCCACGGGGAATTGGCTCTGTGGCGACGGCGGCACAGCTGGCAGACTCAGGCACTTTCTTTTGCGCATGTCGCCTGCGGCGACGACATCGTCTTTCCTCCTCCCCATGTTGCGCTGGATGCTTGTTGAAAATTTGTCAGGACCTCTGCCAGCTTGGCTGGCTAGGCACGTCTGCCGCGTGCGGACTCTAACACGTTAAATCTTCCCTGCCAATTAGTTTCTTCGAGCAGCTGCAGCGGCTTGCTTGTTGGCTGGCACGTTTCAGCCCTTCGGCTGTCCCCCACATCTGGGGTGCGGCTTCCAGTCGTCCTGGCGCTGGCTGCACCAGGGGCTGGAGGCCCGCCGTCCTTTTGTGGGCGGCCATGTGCTTTGCCTGTTTTTTTTTTTTTTTTTTTTGTCTTTTATCGGCCGCACATCTGGGTCGAGGCCTGTCGTCCAGGCGCAGCAGCACCTGGGGCAGGCCTCGTCGTCCTTTTGTTGGCTAGCTTTTTTGCCGATTCTAGGCCGTCCGTGTCGCACGCATGCCAGGCACCCCAGTTGTGGGGGAAGGTGCGTTTTGTGATACCTGGGGCTTGGGCTGTATTAGGCCCTCGCTCCGCGCAGGCCTTATCGGGCGTGTGCGTGCACGTGTGCGTTCGTGTTGGTGCGCTGTTCGTGGGCTTCGCCCATTTTTTCGTTTCGGTGTTGGGTAGGGGTTGCGCCCTCTCCCATCACCTGCCCGTGCACCGCTTGTCCCCCTGTGCAGCCGTGGGCAAGTGGCGCTGCTGGTGTCGCCTCCGCCTAATTTGGGCGGTCCTTTAGGCTGTCACCTCGGGCCTCCTTTTTCTTTCCCCAAAGCGGGTGGCGGCACCCTTGCCTGGCGCGCCGTCGGCCCCCGTCCAGGTGTAGCAGGGCTCCCTTGGGCCCTGCGTGCCTGTGAGGGGCCACCCAGGGGTGGGTCTCTGTTGCCTGGTCTCGCGGAGCGCCCAGGTGCACCCACCCCTCGCGGGTCTTTCAGAGCCGTCCGTCCTCAGTGGTCGGCGGCTTCCCCCCCAGGGCCTCGCCCTCCCTGTGGGGTGTACGGGGGCTGCAGCGTGGTCTCATGCTAAAAAAAAAATCCTCTTCCTCCCGTGCTACCCCGCTTCGTCTACCCATCCCTCCTGCTCGTGCTCCTGTTCCTCCTGCTGTTGCTGCTGCTGCTCTTCTTCTTCCTCCTTCTCCTTCTCCTCAATTCCTTTTCCCTGCAACTAATTTCTCCCTGTCGCACCCCGAGGCCAGTTTTTAGGGCGGGCCGGGCGTTTTGCCTGAGACTTCCTCACCAGTCATGACTCTTAAGTTTTAAAGTTGGTAGCGGTTTACATATGGAGGGTGGGTGGTTTTCAAATTGTGGCTTTCGCTTGAGCGCAGTGCATATTCGTTCTAACAAAATTGCAAGAGTTTCACGGATTGAGGGTGGGCCGTTTTCAAAATGTGGCTCTCGCCATAACGCGGCGCGCATTAGCGTTAAACATTTGCAATAGCTTCACAGATGGAGGGTGGGTTGTGGCTCTCGCCTGAGCGCGGCGCACATTCGTTCTAAACAACTTGCAAGAGTTTCACGGATCGAGGGCGAGGTGGTTTTTTAAAGGTGGCTCTCGCTTTAGCGCGGCGCATATTCGGTTTAACATTTTGCAAGAGCTTCACGGATTGAGGGCGGTTCATTTTCGAAATGTGGCTCTTATCTGAGCGCCGTGCACATTCAGTTTTACAAATTGCAAGAGTTTCACGGACTCCCATCATCAGCGTAATGGTGTTTTGGAAGGGTTCAAGGTTATGCGGGTGCAACAGCTACGTTTTTTGTCTGTGTTGGATTCCCAAGTATGGCGTTCTGGCACGTTTCAGGATCGTCAAGACGCAACAGTCAGGTTGATCCGTGGCGTTGGAATCCCGAAAACAACATTTTGGCTAACTTCAGGGTCTTCAAACGGGTGTCTTCCAACGAGACAGTTCCATCAATGGAAATGAACCGTTGTAGGGGCCAATGAAGACGGATGGTTTACTCCAACATCGTTGATGACTCTTGGGTTTACACTGGTCCTCCTCCTCCTCCTCCTCCTCTTCCTCCTCCTCCTTACCCTCCTCCTCCCCCGTCTACCTCTATCGGGGCTTCACCACAAGCCTTCCTTTCTTCTCTCTTCCGGGACCACGCCACACACCTTCCCCTCTTCCTCTCCTTCCAGCTCTCCTCCTCCTCCTCCTCCTTACCCTCCTCCCCACTCCCCCTCCTCCTCTCCCCCTCCTCCTCCCTCCTTCTCCTCCTCCTCCCTCCTCCTCCTCACTCCTCCTCCCCTCCTCCTCTCCTCCTCTCCTCCTCCTCCTCCTCCTCCTCTCTCATCTTTTCCTCCTTCTCTTCCTCTCTCTTCCCCTCCTCCTCCTCCTCTCCTCCCACTCCTCCTCCTCCTCCTCCTCTCCTCAGCTTCCTCCTCCTCCTCCTCCTCCTCCTCCTTCTCCTCCCTCCTCTCCTTCCTCCTCCTCCTCGTCCTCCTTCTCCTCCTCGTCCTCCTTGTCCTCGTCCTCCTCGTCCTTCTCCTCCTTCTCGTCCTCCTCTTCCTCGTCCTCGTTCTCCTCCTTCTCCTCCTCCACCTCCTCTTCCTTCTCCTCCTCCTTCTCCTCCTTCTTCTCCTCCTCCTCCTCCTCCTCCTCCTCCTCCTCCTCCTCCTCCTCCTCCACACCTCCTCCCTCCACTCGTGGCGGCCCCGCAGCGCACCCGCCGCTCCTCACAAAGGGGGCGCCCTCTGCGTCCGCCGCGACCGCGGCGCCACTGGAGAAGCCCTGGGCGTCGCTCTCGTCGTCGTCGTCGTCGTCGTTGTCGTCGTCTTCGTCTTCGTCTTCCCCATCGGGGGAGGGGGTGGGAGAGTGCAGTGAGGGGGACGGAAGGGGCAGGCAGGGAGGGAGGGAGTTACAGGAATTACAGCCATCGCGTAGTGATATCACGTGATGCTACAACACACGTGCCCTGAGCTCGCGGAGCACCGAGACGATATGGATGAGCACCCGCACGCACCCGCAGACGAACTCCATGAAAAATCACGGCCGACAGACACATCCCGGGAGGGAGGGTGGGAGAAAGGCAAAGAGGAAGGGCGGGGAGACGAGCGGAGAGGGGGCAGGGAGGGGGGACGGGGGGGCGCAAAGGGCGGAGGGACGCGATGGGGGGGAGGAGAGGGATGATGCATAATAGAGGAGGGGGGGCAGGGGCGAGAGAAGAGCAGGGCCGAAGGAGTACGGTAAGCACAGCGCAGGAGCACTCAGGCCACGTCTGGCATCCTGCCCTTCTCGCTGGCCCCCCCCCATGACGCCGATTTTTTCTCCAGATCTGCCGACGAGTGTCCCAACGGACCGGGCTCCCCATCCCCATGTCGAGCTGCGGCTGCCAAGCATGCCAAGCGGGAGAAGCCACCTGCGGATGCGGGACAGCGGCACGCATACGGATTTCGTGTCCAGAGCAGAACGAAGACGCTTGCTGAGGTCATGGAGTCCCACCTGAAGGCGGCGGTCGACTCCAAGGAGAGACTACCGAGCTGGCGATGCTGAAGTACGGCCTCATCATGACGAAGCGGCCTGGGGATCGGGCCTATGAACTTTCTTCAAAGGATTAAGGAGGAGTCAGCGGTGAACTGTGCTCAGTCAAAATGAAAAACAACAGCTGCAAATCAAAGAGATCGAACTTGAGAATACCTTGATCACATATGACATGTTAGCACAACTATACCGTCAGGATTGTGATCATAGCGATGATGCAAATGAATCAGAGGTACCTCGCGAAGAGCTCCTCCACGCTGCTCCACCGTGGCAGGAGAAACGCACCAGGGCGGTGACGGTGAAGGCGGCGGACCCTGGTCCGACGTGGCCTGGGCAAGAGCGGTTGACGCCGATGGACGATAAAGATGAAGACACTCAAACATAAACACTGCATCCACCGCCTCCTCCGCGGCCACAGCCAAAGACTCAACATCGTGAACCGAGCCGATCTCCGCTGGTTGTGTTTCGTAAGGTTATGAAGAAGCTCGACTCGATCACGGACTGTATGCAGCAACATCCACAGGCTATCGCCAACACCAAGGCCATGTTCGCGCAGGTCGAAACACAACGCATGCATGTGGGCCTTGTAAACTCTATGGATGACAAGTACGTGAAGCAACGACAATCAATGCTTCAAACGGTTTTTTTGTCGGAGCAGTACACATCGGAGTGGTCGACAGTGGAAGGACAGAGAGAACGAATGGTGTTGGCGGCGGCAGGCGCACGCACGGACAGCGTGGCAACACAGCCTGAAGCAAAGACCTCCACGCTCCTGTACGGCCTCATGGGCCAGGTCCAGGAGCCCCAGAGAGCCAGGGCAGTTCATGGAAGCGGCGGTTGGACGGGTGGAGACTACGATGGCACATCGAGCGGAGGAGTTCCAGCGAGCTTTGGGGCATGAATGCAGCAGACAGGATCAGAAGCTTCAGATCGACACCTATGCTATCGAGACGGCGATGGACTAGGGTCCGCCGCAACTCACCAGCGAGCAAATGATGATGTGGGACACGATGGAGGACAGTCAGAAAGCAGGCGCATCAAACGGTCACCGCACATGCGGGGCAGCCTGAGAAGTCGACAAACGATGCCAAGAGTCGGGCACAGGTAACTCAACAGCATGCTCAGCGGTCATCCGAAGAAGCAGCGGGTGCAACAGTCAGAGCAAACATAATGTGGTTACCCCAAGAGAACTCGAGGATGATCGACCGCAACTGACTGCAAAGAGGTCGGACCCTCAGCGTAACTGATACAGATGGGGGACCACGCGACGGGAGAACTGCTACGCCAACTCCTGGGCCGACAATGGTGTGGGGGCCTACGACAACAGCACAGACGGAGCCGATGACACCGAAACACAATAGACAATCAACTAATTGTGACATTTCTGATGTGGAGTTGCTGGGAAAGAGTTCCACGACTTTCGCGATCAGCACACTTGGGGCAGTCCAATACGAAATGATCTTTACGATGCAGCGGAGCTCGAACCTTCAGCTGCAGATGAGTCGACCGTCACCGCCACGCAGCATGCCCAGAAGAGGCAAGACTGGCAGACGGTCAACCAGTCCGCAAAACCAAAGGAAAAAACGCAAACACATGTGTACCGTTTCCCGCAAGCCGCCACGAGGGGCTTCGAGTCGTGGAGGAGGGCAACCCTCAGCCTGAAGGCGTGAGCATGGAGGATCGCCCAGACCTCCAGCAGCCTCCTATGATATGGTCGGTGCAACGTGATCACATTTATGCTGAACGCTTTCGTCAGAAAAAGGACCCGACATGCGACGGCAGTCATGCACTGCGGGAGTGCGCAGCCATGCCAGCTGGCCACATCGTGGAATTCACGTTCGACACGGACTGCGAGAAAGACGAGGAACTACCGAGCTCGTCGATGGTCGTGGACGTTGGCCAACCGAGCCCCGACGATGCTCAACGCAAGGGCATAGTCCTCAGGCAAGTTCTACAAAGTCATCCAGCACAAGCCCTACCTCCACGATACCGGTTTTACCTCCAAGCTTTTTCAATGAGAAGCTGGGGGGCCGATGGACACTACCTCTTTCATATTCAAGATGTTAGCAGACAGAATGTGCACACTTCTGCCGAGCGATCACTGCGACTTGCACCGCCGAGGGCGATCTGGCCATAAACCATACGTCTCTCACAGGTGGATCAATTGCAGAATGGACGGTTGGATTGTTGCTACGACTAGGGAGGATGCTGATATATTTGCTTCTAAACAGTAGATGTGAGCAATGAACTTCCACAACACAATGGATTTGAACGACGGAAATCGATTTTACAACTCGACGGCAAATATCCGCCGGCCCCTTTGCGGGGCCACCAGGCTGCGAGGGTGAAGATTGCAGCTCCCTGTTCGAGTTGCAGTTTCCAGCTTCCACTGTTACAATCCTGATGTCTGCTTCCTTACTGTTAACTGTTGTTGTCCGCGCGAAGGGTGGGAGCCCCAAACGGGATTTGTTACCACGCCCTCGGAGGGTTCTGAGAATTCCTCGGGGGGTGAAATTTCACACCCCTCACTCAAATCGGCGGGGTCAGGGTCCAAACGCCCATCGGATTTGCTACATGTTTGAAAACTCTGTCGCAGCCCTCACGCAAATCGGCAAGGTTAGGGATTAAAAACCCATGGGATTTGCCACAATTGCGTCCCCGAGGCCATGAACCTTGGAACATTACACAATACTCGCGCCCCCGAAGCCACAAACCATCGTACATTACGCAATAGTCGTGTCCCCGAAGCCATACACCTTTACAAATTATGCAATATTCGCGTCCCCAGGGCCAGACACCTTCGTACATTACACCATGCTTCTGTTCCCGAGGCCATATACCTTTGCAAATTACACGCTAGTCGCGTCCCCGAGGCCGTAAACCATAGACATGTATAACATATCTGCGCCCCCGAAGCCATACACCCTTGTACATTGCACAATATTTGCGTCCCCGAAGCTGCAGACCCGTGTACATGTTGCCAAATTCGCGTCCCCGAAGCCATCACTCATTGTAAATTATGTCTCATTCGCGCCGCCGACGCCAGAAACCATCATACATTAATATTGCCCCTCGCGTGAAGTCCCGACATTGCTTCGCGTCAGCGTCCAGACATCCCAACACAGCTCTGGCAAGTCGCATTCTAAGAGGGGGTTGCCAGCGGCAGGGGGCGAAGCCCTTGCGGATTATTCGAATTCTCGGGGCGTCGATAACTGTCACGCGCGACTCCCCACTGTGTAGATGGGTAATCTCAAGCGACGCAGTGATGGTGATCCGGGTTGCCGAAGTGACCCGCTTGCATCGAAGGTTCCCAACGCTTGGCCATCTACCCCGATCGCTTGTCAAATAACTCATGCCAGCGAATGAGATGTCTTGCAGACACGTGGCAACACGCGAACCAGACCCGTGGACCGAGACGGTGGACTCGTTGACCAGCGAATTCCCCACGCAAGAGAACTGTTTGCTTCGCCGGCATGCGTTGGATACAGTCAACCTGTATAGTAAGGATGCGCGATAAGGATGCAAGGGCCTTGGACGCCCACTTCGGAGCTTTTCGAGCGGGGCGCGGCCAGCGAAAGCGGCGAAGGATGGACCGCGGAGGCAAGGGTGCAAGGGTACCCTTGGGAAGGTTGCCCATCCTTACTATGCGGGTTGACTGTATGCTGAAATATGGTCGTCTGGTATACTGGGCTTGGCTGGGATACGATGCTACAGTGCCAAAGGCAATGCCAAGGACTGGTCATGGTGGCGTATAGTTGAAGCACATTGATCATTCGGTCGGCCCCAGTGGACTGTCGCAGAATCCGACATGTCTGGGAAAAGGTTAAGACATCAAAATCGAGCGGGCCCAAAGCCAGCACGTGGAGCGGATCGAGAGGTCAATCTATTTCTTCGAGCGGCGACCTACACCCCCAAGACGTTCACGGCAGGAGCGACTCAGAAGAATTCGCGGGCGCACCGCGACAGAACACAAAGACGTTGCGCAATCGCTGAAGATGCAATTTTTACGACATGGAGCCCAATCCGACGGGGCTTCAAAAGGACCGCTACCAAAAAACAGAAAAATGGGTCGACGAACATCTGGCGTGGCTCTCGGGTGCCGGCAGCGGAGGACCACGGCTGCGCCTTCCTGCTGGATCTCATTATCTCGCCATCGCTCGGACGTCATTTTTTTGTGTTTTTTTCGGTTTCGTGCGTGTTTTTTTCGCCAAATGGTCAAGGATGCTCCCCGATGGCCCTCGCCGAGGAAAAAACGCACACGTCCGAGCGATGCCGAGATATGCCCCACGACGAGGTGGGCGGCAAACCGAGGTATTCCCAAGGAGGCGACACCATAACCCTTGGTGCCCGGAGCACCACTGCCCTCGCTGCCAAGGTGGAGGCCCGTGCATGAGGATCGCAGTCGCAGCCCTTCACGCGCCTCGTCACAACATAAGCTGGGCCGCGGCAGTGGCAACCTGATCTTTTTCTGTGGATGTGAATGGGCGCGTCGATTGCACGATGTACGATGGCAAAGTTTTAGGAGATGTTGGCATGGAGGAGGAGGAGGAGGAGGAGGAGGAGGAGGAGGAGGAGGCATGTGATAATGTGGAACGACTGGCAACCATTGCCAAGGATATGGGCATGCTCATATTGAACACATTGCTGATGAGCAGCGAGAAGGACTACGTGGACATGGTTGACCTCGCGATGGAGCCAACCTCAACCCGCGAGCGAAAATATGGAGAAGGAAACAAACATAGGGTTGACTACGTTCTATCCTCACGGAAGGGGTGTACAGGTGGCGGTGGAGTCACGGGTGCACTGCGACGTCGGCAACGGGCTGCAGCCTGAGGATCACTCTCCTGCATCCGTGCTCTTCGAAGCTCAAGTAGATCAGAAGGCGCCCGTGAAGGGGTTCGGAAACGCGGATCGGGCACAGGTTGGCGGCCGAAGTCCAGTGGGGAAGCTTGGAAAGCGCGTTGACGGCATGGCGGTCAGGGAGTGGGGCGCCAACCCTGCGATTATTAGGGGGTAAACAAACCTACCTCGCTCTTGACCACCCTCGCTTCCAAGAAATACCAAGCGATGCCGAACTACGGCCTGTACTGGTCAGGCCGCTTGACGAGGAGGCGCGTGGTATGACTTGGGTTTGCCTGGAAGCGGAAGCGGGGTAGGCAATTCACGCGCTGAATTATGCGCCGCAAGGAGAATCAGGAGCTGCTGCAGGCGGCCGAGCGAGCGCTTGGAAGGGGTCTCTGGAGGGGGTCCGATTTGCACCGTTTGCAGCCCTGCGCGGGCCGATCCACGATGCGGCTGCGGCTGCGAAGGCGTGGGCATCTTGCGCCGATGGAGGCGAGACGAATCGAAATGCGCGGACAACACTTCACATCGCCCCCCCTTCCCGGCAGCTCAGCGACTTGGTCGACGACGGTGATGCGCAGGCCCAGCCAACTCAGATGCTGCTATGGAATGTTCAGTTGTTCCAGGCTGGTGATGTGACGACGGAGGCCCTCGCGAAAATATCCGGTTGGTCTCTCGAGGTTGCGGGCGGCGCCGTGCGCCGTGCCCTGCGGCGAGACAAGAAATTCATTTTTTTCACCAGGGTGGCGGATCAAATGGGAAAACCTTTGAGATCAAAGATGGCGCGGCAGAATGAGCTTGGGTCAACCAGATGCCGAGACATGGTGGTCGTGCGCACCCGCATTTCCAGGTGGGCAACTTATTGCCATGCGACAGCGGTGGGAAAGCCGTGAGATGCGAGAAGGACTTGGGAAGTCTTAGTTTGCAACTTAGTTTGCAAACTTTTGCCATAGTAGAAGCGGAGACAGTTGGCGAAATCAAATCAGAAGTATCGGAGTTCAACGCGATGTAACGCAGTTTTTTCAAATGAGGTGTTTCGCATTGGGGCAGCACCAACTCTCGGGGAAATGGGCATGTCTTTCTCGGAGGCGGCGCAGTTCAAAGGCGCCGGGCCTGACCCGGCCCAGGGCGACCTATTGCGCGCGGCATCGCGGCGAACAAGCTGCATGTTTTATTCTCTGGCAATCTTCGCGGCTGCATCTGCAGGGGCAGAACCGCGGCAGTTCAAGCGCGGCACGGTGGCTAAAGTGCCGAAACAAAAAAATCCCAATTCATAGAGGCGCATCGGGCCATCGCGCAGGGGCAACGTCGCCCCGACGCTTCTGCATGTTCCTGCGTGGACTGGTGGCGCTGACGATGAACGCCACGCTGGAAGACTCGCAGGTTGGCGGGGAGAATGGGCGAGGCGAGGACCTGCGATGGCATCCCACCGGTTGCGATTGGCGCAGCAGCTGTGGAATAGGATGGGCATCGCACTAAACGTTTGGTGCATTGGCTTGGTTGTGCCGTCTCACGGGGTATTGCGGCATATGGCTACCCCAATGGAACCGACCAAGGAACTCGAATAACCTCTGCATCAATCAAGTACACCGTCGGAACCTTGTACGCTGGCCACAGCTATTATTGCGACGCCTGGGTTGGTATCTCCCAGGATGGATGACAAGCGCCTTGCTGATGTTGCAGCTGAGCCACGGCGGGAAACCAGGTTGCGCGCGCCCGTGAGTACGGCTGCAGGGACGGCGCGTCGTGATACAGTGCATGGCGAGTGATAAACTGATAAGCGGTTGATCGTTCATTTCCACCCTACTGGAGATCATGCGCGTAGATCTTGTTGAGAAGGGGTAGTTGTTTCGATTCGGTGTTGCAGGAGGGAGTGGCCCGAGCGGCGAGTGCGGAGTGCTGGCAGACGTTGCCTTCGAGGGCGATTTGGCAATGCCATCGACGTGCAGGAAAAGTCTTGCAGGTGTGGGGGACATCGCGAGCACGGGCGAGGTGGCGCGTTTTCATTTGGAAAAATATGCAATGGAGGTGAAGTATGGTCCAGGCAAAACTGCGGCGATGTCTTGCATTCCTTGCGAGGGCCCCCCTGCAGGCCAAGCGCGAGCTGTACGGTGAGGAAGGCTTGGAGCTAGAGATCACTAGTAGTCTGCGTCGTTTGCCACCAGTGGCGAGGGAGTGCGGGCATCTTGGTGCGATGATTGCGCGTGACATGCATTGGGGGCCAGAGCGGCAACTTGATCGGATGATTCTCAAACCTGGATATGGCCCACCACCTTAATCAACTATGCTTGTTGATTATTTGACGAACTGTCGTTTGCTATGCCAAGCTGAAACCTGGCCAGCCTTGCCCGATAGCTCGGTGCGAGGGATGACAACCGCCAACATGAACGGCTTCAGGCGATCAGCCAAGATGAAGGGGAACGCGACCAGCCGCCAGTTCGTGGACGAGGACGTGGTGATAGCGACGAATAGGATCGACATCAACTTCGTCGTGAGGTTCCGCAGGCTCCTCTTTCTTTATTCTGTTCTGTAGCATGCTCCTGCTGCGTCTGTCTGCTCTGATCGACCCAGCGGTTTTGTGGGCGGGTGGGGGTCGCTAGTTTCGGAGGGCTTGGCATGGATGAGCCGACGCAGCGCGCGCATGGGGTGGCCAATTGACAGTACCTTCCCAAACTGGTGCCAGGCCAGGCGCGCGCGGCCGCAAAACTTTCGATCACTTAAAGCAAACCACCTGGAACCGTTTCAAGTCGTGCCATAAGTGTAGCCTTGACAGTGCAGCAACTCGGCAAAAGATGGATCGAAGCAGTCGCATGCTCGAGCATGCCATCGAAATTCCTGCGCACCCCCCGAGCACGGCAATGCCGTGTGTCCTGGCCTGGGAGGGTGGGTCTCGAGGCTGGGCGGCTCCCGAATTGGCACATCTCCTCTCCACCGCGGGAGTGGCTTCAGCCGAGGAAAGTGGTCCCACGCTTTGTGGGCCCCGGAAACGGCAGGGCCGTTTTTTCACCGTGTCCAGCAAAATGCCCATTGAAAATGAAAACGGCAAAAAAACGGCGACCGGAAACGGCAAAAAAACGGCTCCAGGATCGGAACTGGGGCCGGAACCGGTCAAAAAACGGCGACGGAACCGGTAACAAAAACGGCGTCGGAACCGGCAAAAAAAAACGGCAAAACAGAACCGGTAAAAAAACGGCCCTGTCGTTTCCAGGGCCCACTAAGGTCCCACGCGTGCGAGAGACATCGGCCCGAACATCGATGCGGAACGTACCCCACCTACAAGTATGCAGCACTCTCGTGGGCGAGCGGCGCGAGAGATGGCCGCCAGATTCTCCTGCATACGCCGCGAGTGGCCGCTACTGCAGGAACTGTGACGCTTCTAGTGGCCATCTGGTCTTTACTGAGCCTCTATGGGGTGGGGTGGGGTGGATGGCGATAAGTGGGGAATTGGGATATCGACCGTGTCCAGCTGCCACGCACACGCAACACTTTTGGCTGCCGATTGGAGGAGGAACGGCCTATGTTACAAATTGATCGGCACGGGGGGAGGCGCGGTTTCTTTGTCACGCTCAGGCGCCTGCACGGGGCAAGGACGGGACTGGAGCGCATATGGTGTTATGGTGTTAATTGCTTTTGTAGGGGGGAAAATGGGAAGGGCGAGTACTAGTTGCCTCGCCTTCTGCGGTGTCTACTACAAGGAAGGCGGGTGGAGATGAGGATCATGAGAAGGAGGAGGAGGAGGAGGAGGAGGAGGAGGAGGAGGAGGAGGAGAGTGATGATGATGATGATGATGATGATGATGATGAGGGAGGAGGAGGAGGAGGAGGAGGAGGAGGAGGAGGAGGAGGAGGAGGAGGAGGAGGACGATGAGAAGGAGGAGGAGGATCGAGATCTACGCGAACGCCAAGAAGGGGGCATTTCAGGCCGCCTTGCTTGCGCTGTATAGTATGTGGACACTTCGGATCTCTCCATCCTATGGCACGAGCGCAGCAGCAGGGGGAGGAGGAGGAGGAGGAGGAGGAGGAGGAGGAGGAGGAGGAGGAGGAGGAGGGAGGAGGAGGAGGAGGAGGAGGAGGGAGGAGGAGGGAGGAGGAGGAGGAGGAGGAGAGGAGGAGGAGGAGGAGGAGGAGGAGGAGGAGGAGGAGGAGGAGGAGGAGGAGGAGGAGGAGGAGGAGGAGGAAGAGGAGGAGGAGGAGGAGGAGGCGGAGGAGGCGGAGGAGGAGGAGGCCATATTCCCCCGGCGCCGCCCCTGACGGCAGGGGCCCGCCGCGCGCGCCCGCCTGCGCCGGCGCCGCCCGCGCGCCGAAGTCGGCGGCCGGCGCCCGCGGCCCCCGCGGCGCCGCGGGCGGGCCCCGCGCGCGCCCGCCTGGGCCGCCTGCCGCGCGGCCCGGCGGCGCGGCGGCGGAGGAGCGGCGGCGGCGGCGGCCGCTAGGACAGGGGAGCGAGGGAGGGGCAGCGGGGAGGAGGAGGAGGAAGAGGAGGAGGAGGAGGAGGAGGAGGAGGAGGAGGAGGAGGAGGAGGAGGAGGAGGGGTTAAGGGCTACGGCGCGCCGTCGGCGCGCTGCGGAGCCCATATCGAAAGCTGATCGAAAGGAGGAGGAGGAAGAGGAGGAGGAGGAGGAGCGGCGGCGGCGGCCGCTACAGTCAAAAACCTTAGTAAGGACGCGCGGTAAGGACGCGAGACCCTTGGAAGCCGAAGTTGGGATTTTTGGGGCGGCGGGCGACGAAAACCCCAAGGGCGCAGGAGCAAGGAAAAGCAAGGTCGCAAGGGTGCCCTGAGCAAAGTCGCGCGTCCTTATTCTGGTTTTTGACTGTGAGAGGCCTCGGACAAAAAAAAAAAGCCAACACTCATGCCACGTTTCATCTGTCAGCGACTCCCCTTCCCCCCAACGTTCAAAGTGGGCGGTGGGTCTGATCAATTTGCACCTCGACCGCAGTCTCCCCCGCGCGTGCCAGCTTTGAGTTTTGGGGGCAGGGGGGGTGTTCACTGATTGTTGCCCTCTACTGTAGGGGCCTCTGTCGGCGGTGGTCGAGGGGGGAACCGAGAAGGAGAAGGCCTTCTCAGAAGGCGGCGGGACTTCTCAGTAACCCTTGCGCCTTCTGAAAAGTTCTCGTGTGCCTTCGGGGATGGCCCAGACAACTTGTCGGAAGACCGGGGGACTTCCGAGCCTTTCGAGAAGGACCGCCCCTCCTCACTTTACCCCCAGGCTCGCCGCCGAAGATCTCCGACGATACGATTTCGAAAGTCAGCGGGCGCACGCGAGCCGCAGCAGGTGCAGGCGCTGGTCGGGCAACGGGTGGGGTTCGCCGGAAGCAGATTGGACACGAAAAGACGCGGGGAGATCTCCGACAGTACAGTCGGACTGCTGCAATCAGGAGCGCTAGATAGGATACGACAACGTGTCTTGGCGCCAGAAGTGCCGGGGTGCACGAGGAGGGCTAGAGGGATAACCACGAAACGACCCAGTGAACAGCAAGCCCCCTCCGAACCGAAGTAAAACAGGGCTAGGATCGGGATAAATCGCTCCAAAGCGTTCCGGAGCGCTCTCAGAGCGTTCCGGAACGCTCTGGAGCGGCCGCGGCGCCCAATACATCCTCCAGACCCGCCGATTCTCAGGGATTTCGAGTTATCCCGATCCGATTTTGTTCCAATCTTCGCGTCAGCAAGCCCCCTCCGAACCGAAGACGGCCCCTGCTTCAGCGTCTTGGCTGCACGTCGGATCATTGCGCTCGGGGCGCTCGTCCTCGATCTGGCCTCCGTGGACCGTTGTCGGGCCCTGGGGCTGTGCTCTAGAGTTAGGCCGGGCCTGTCCCCCATACAGGGGGATCTGGGACGAGCAATAAAACGTACTCAGAAATACTCCAAAGATGCCAAACCATACTAAACAAATAGTCCCCAGACTATGTTTTGACTATTTTTGAATGTTCCCCAATTGAGAGGGCCAGGCCCGACTTGACTCTAGAGTCAGGCAAGTTCACTTGCATGGCTTTGCCCCCCTCCGCCCCCCACCCCTTCGCCGCCTTTTCAAGCCGCGCTGAGCCGAAACGGCGCGCAAGTGTGTCCCGACTTGCGTGCAGTCCAGGCTTCTGGTCGGCCCTCGCCACGCCCCCCCCCCCCTCCTCCCTGCAAGTCAACTTGCCGAAGCCTGAAGACAAATTCTCTCGAATGGGTCCGGGGCGATCACACTGCCCCCCTGGGGAAGCGGTCGGGACGTGTGGGGCCCCGGACGGTACGAATCCGATCGGCGGACCACACCTCTTTCGTTGCCGCCGCGTCTTGATTGTGGATCGCTCGCGCACTGCTGCCAGTTGCGGCTCATGAGCGGACTGACGAGCCCCTCGGGCAGAATTGGCTTCAGCGCAAATGCCGGCCTTTTGCACGTGGAGCTTGCCACGCCGAGACGAGTCAGGGAGGAGGCGGAAGAGGAGGAGGAGGAGGAGGAGGAGGAGGAGGAGGAGGAGGAGGAGGAGGGGGAGGAGGAGGAGGAGGAGGAGGAGGAGGAGGAGGAGGAGGAGGAGGAGGGCGGCGGCGGGGACAGCAGGGGCACCTGGGGGGGGCCCCCGCCGCCGACGCGGGGGGCGGGGCCCCTCGTGCCCCGAGCGCGCTCCCGGGCGAGGCCACAGGAGGCGGCTCCGAGGCGGAGGGGGGGGGAGGAGGAGGGCGACGCAGAACGAGGAGTGGCCAAGCCCACACTTTGGACGCCCGACATGGGTACGGAAAGAATGGGCACAATGCCCAACAACAAATGTTGTCCCAAACCAGCAGCGGCCGCTGTTGTGCAGGCGGCCATCTGTCTCGAATGGACACAGGCCGCGGCGACGTGGGCAGCGAATCCTGTTCAAAATGAACAGGAACTGCTGCTAGGCATTGTACTCATTCTTTCCGTACCCATTTCGGGCGTCCAGACACACGTGCGATGTGCTGGTCTTTTCCGTGCGGGCCCCCCGAAGGGCCCGATCCTTTCCTCGGGGCGGGGCTGGCTTTCCATCCCGAGTCGTTTCCTGGCCGTCCCGGGGGCCGGCGAGGGCCCCCAGGAGTCGGCTCCGGGGCGGAGGGGGTGGAGGAGGAGGGTGACGCAGAACGAGGAGCACAGTCGGGCCGCTGAGAGAAGGAACGCGAAATAGGGAACGACGCCCCTTCTTGGCCCTGTCAGCGCCTCCGTGCCCCAGGAGGGCAAGAAGAACAGCACTGGAGGAACCTACGGAACATCGAGCCCCTTCCGAACCCAAATCGTTCCTTGTTCCAGCGGCTTGCCTGTAGGCAGGCCCACACACGCGATGTTCTGGTCTTTTCCGTGCGGGCCCCCCGAGAGGCCCGATGCTGTCCCCGGGGCTGTTTTTTTCATCCCGAGCCGTTTTCTGTCCTGGGGACCAGCGTGGGCCCCCAGGAGATCGAAGACGACGAGGCACCTCCCGTAATTACCGATGCTTCGCAGGACGCGAGCATGTCTGGGGGAGGATCCTGCTGCTCTTCTTCCTACTGCTCGCCCTGGCCCTCTGAAGACCCATCTCCCCATCCCACTCTTCTGCTGATGCCGCACCTCGGCAGGTCAGACCTGCCCTGGCGCACTGTGTTCAGTCACGAGTGCGTTTCTGTGCTGCGCGTTGACTATTTTCTCTTCTGCAGTCACGCAGCAATATTGCGCAAACCTGTACACCCAGCTAGGCGCTTCTTCAGGCGACATGGGGGCGCCTCCGATGACTTGGCCACCGGGCACCCCTTGCGGCTGCTCGTGCTCCAGGGGCGGCCCCCGACCCGGGGGCCCAGACGAGGCAGGAGGGAAGCGGGGCGGGGCGGGGCGGCCAGCGCCAGCAGGGAGGGGGGAGGGACATCGGGGGCGACGGTGGGCGGGAATAGCCCCGGGGAGCGCAATCCATGTATCCAAGGGCGCCGATGCTCCATGCCTTCGGCGAGGCTCCCCGGCGAAGAAAGTGTGCCCGCCCTGAGGCTGTGCGCGCGTGTCGTCGCCGCCAGGTGTAGCGCAGACCACTAATTACCAGACCCTGGCGTGGCCCATGCTGCGGGCCCGAGCCGGGGGCGGCGTGTGCTGGCTCCCAGTGTGCCAGTACACTGAAGTACAGTTGGGCAGTCGTGAAGGGGCCCAGGACACACAAACAAATACACACAAACGAAAATATTCCCCGCATTTTCATATATTTTCGGTGTTTTTGTCTTCCCCATCACTTCCAATATTTTCCCATATGTTCTGGGGAGTGGACGGTTGATTGTGTCTGTGTTTTTTTTTTCTCCTCCCGAAGTTGGGGCGGTACCAGCCAGGAAGCTCACACAGCAGACTCGATAGGAGCAGCGCCGCGCCGCCAGCTCGGCGCCAGCATGCCATCGCGGAGCGAAAGAGCCGCGGGTGGCACAAGCACGAGTGCGGCCCCCCCGAGCAAGCACCATTCCCCGACCAGTGCTTGCACTTAGGGCTTCACTCTGCTCTTCTTGAAGAACTGTGCCCATGCGGAGCCCCGGGCGGCCCCGTTCCCGTCCGTCGCCGCGCCGTTCTTCCCAGTAGAAGGCCCGTGTGCTGCCCCAGCGTCCCCGTCCCCGCCCGTCGTTGCCGCCCCGTTGCCCACCCACCCCCCTGGTTGAATTGCGATCGCTTTGCGTTGCAATCACACTGCATGGCAATCGCATTGCAATCGCATTGCATCGCATTGCCCTGCATTGCTCTGCATTGCAGTCACATTGCATTGTACTGCGTTGCGTTGCAATATCACTGCGTTGCAATAGCTTTGCACTGAGTGGAACGCATTGCTTTGCAATGTCTTGCAATGCACCACATGGACCGCCTAGACTGCACCGCCTGGATTGCAAGAGATCACTGTTTGGGGTCCACGCTGGCCAATATTGAATGGCGGACGCTGGAATGTGGTGGTGCGCTCTCTTCCCCTTCATCCCGACAACGGCATCCGGGTGGGCCCAGCCTGGCTTTCGGAACAGCGCCCAATCGTCGCCTTGCGGGGCTCAGGGCTGATCGCGGTCGACAGGTCCGCAGGACAGGTTCGCGCACGGCGGCCTCGGCACCCCATCCCCGGGGCGCGGCCTACAACTCCATGGCCAGAAGCCTGCAGCTCAGACCTGGGCCTTGCCAGCGCAGAGTAGAGGCTGGGGAGCGGCCAACAAACGGGGGCGGGGGCGAGCCCCGGCAGGCCCCGCGGTCCGTTTGTAGAAGCAGCACGGCGAGGGCGGCGTGCGTTATTTTCGGCGCTTGAGCGCCACAAAGTTCACGAGTGCTGGCGGGCGGGGTACAAACGCACTCCCCTAACTACACGCAAGCACCAAAACTTTGATCTGCCGTATAGAGCTTGGACTTCGGAACGCATCTGTCACGATCGGTGCGTTGAATGTGCGGGCACTCTGGCCAGAAGAACAAGTAACGACATCTTGCAAGCAGCTAGTACGTGCTCGCGCGCGCCGAGGCTGGGCCGCAGCGCGAGGTGACCGCAGGGATGCGCGGTAAGGGCGCAGTGCCCTTGGACGACCATGTTGAAGCCTTGTGTGTGGGGGTGGGGTGGGGGGCGGGGGCTGGCCAGTGGAAGTGGCCAAGCGTGGGCCGAAGGGGCAAGGGCGCAAGGTTGCCCCGGGCAAGCTCCTCGCGACTCAGGCTGCGGCCCGTCCGCGCCCGCAGTGGGGGTGCCCGCATGCGCCCGCCACACCCAGTACAGCGTTTCGTGGCCCCATCGGGAGCTCCACCGAAAGCCCCAGTGGGGGTGCCCGAATGCGCCCGCCACACCCAGTACAACGCTTCGTGGCCCCATAGGGAGCTCCACCGAAGGTCCCAGTGGGGGTGCCCGCATGCGCCCCCCCACCCAGTACAGCGTTTCGTGGCCCCATAGGGAGCTTCATCGAAGGCCCCAGTGGGGGTGCCCGCATGCGTCCGCCACACCCCACACCCAGTACAGCGTTTCGTGGCCCCATCGGGAGCTCCAGCGAAGGTCCTAGTGGGACCGCCCGCATGCGTCCCCCCATCCAGTACAGCGTTTCGTGACCCCATATGGGGGTCCCACTGAAGGCCCCAATGGCACCGCTCGCATGCGTCTCCACAACCCACTACAGTGCGTCGTGGCCCCACAGGGAGCTCCACCGAAGGCCCCAGTTGGACCACCCGCATGAGTCCCCTCACCCATTACCTCACGCCCCATCACGCGTTGCGTGGCCCACCAGAGGCGACACCCACAACGCGTATCTCACAACTACATCTGGTTGGGTCCTTCGCCAAGATATTCGACCTCCTAACCATCCTGTGGTTTTGGGTCTTCGTTTTGAAGAGACGGTCCCAATGTTCCTCTCCTCCTCTCCTCCTCCTCCCCCTCCCTCCCCTCCTCCCTCCTCCCGTCTCCCCCTTCAATTTGGCACACCCATCACAAGCTTCGTGGCCCCATAGGAAGGCCCCAGTGGGGGTGCCCGCATGCGTCCCCCCCACACCCAGTACAGCGTTTCGTTGCCCCATCGGGAGCTCCACCGAAAGCCCCAGTGGGGGCCCGCATGCCCACCCCCCCAGTACGGCGTTTCGTGGCCCCATAAGGAGCTTCACTGAAGGCCCCAGTGGGGGGGGGGGCGCATGCGTCCCCAGTACAGCGTTTCGTGGCCCCATACGGAGCTCCACCGAAGGTCCCAGTGCTACCGCCCACATGCGTCCTCCCCCACCCAGACACGCCCCTCGTGACTCCATAGGGAGCTCCACCGAAGGCTCCAGTGGGGGTGCCCGCATGCGTCGCCCCCACACAGTACAGCGCTTCGTGGCCCCATAGGGGACTCCACCGACGGCCGCAGTGCTACCGCCCGCATGCGCCCCCCCCCGCACAGTGTAACTTCTGGTGGCCCCCAAGGGAGCCCCATCGAAGGCCCCAGTGGGGGTGCCCGCATGCGTCCCTCCTACCCAGTATAACGTTTCGTGGCCCCATAAGGAGCTCCACCGAAGGTCCCAGTGCTACCGCCCGCATGCGTCCCCCCCCACCCTGTACAGCGTTTCGTGGCCCTATAGGGAGCTCCACCGACGGCCCCAGTGCTGCCGCCCGCATGCGTCCCCTCCACCGAGTACAGCGTTTCGTGGCCCCATACGGAGCTCCACCGACGGCACCAGTGCTATCGCCCGCATGCGCTCCCTCCACCCAGTTACGCGCCTCGTGGCTCCATAGGGAGCTCCACCGAAGGCCCCAGTGGGGGTGCACGCATGCGTCCCCCCCACCCAGTATAGCGTTTCGTGGCCCCATACGGAGCTCCTCCGAAGGCCCCAGCGTTACCCCCCGCATGCGTTCCCCCCACCAAGTACAGCGCGTCGTCGCCCCAGAGGGAACTCCACCGAAGGTCCCAGTGCTACCGCCCGCATGCGTTTCCCCCACCCAGTATAGCGTTTTGTGGCCTCATACGGAGCTCCACCGACGGTCCCAGTGCTGCCGCCCGCATGCGCACCCCCCACCCACCCAGTACAGCGCTTCGTGGCCCCATGCGGAGCTCAACCGACGGCCCCAGTGTTATCGCCCGCTTGAGTTCCCCGCCAGCGCTTCGTGGCTCCATAGGGAGCCCCACCGAAGAAGAAATTCACAATTGCGGTATTCACAACTGCATGTGGTTGGGTCCTTCGCCAAGATGATATGTATAAACATCGACCCCCCAAAGTCTCGACCCCTTCCCTGGGACGGGTTCTTCACCCCAAGTCGTTTTCTGACGGTTCCGAAGCCAGGTAACAAGAGCCCCGGGAGGCCGAACATGGCGAAAAACCGCCCGTCGTGACTTTTCCATGCCTCGAGGGGGTCTGGCGATGGAGCCTCCTCGGCTCCTGCCGAGCGCTCGGCACTTGCCGTGCGCTGGCCTGGTCGGCACCTTTCTGCCAGGCGGACCGGCTTGAGC